TTCTGAACCCCTTCTGAAGGACGCGTATCGTATAGGACTGTATAATTAAGAATTGAGCGACATTAAAGACAAGAAGATGAAAGAACGACCCGGCTAACGCGATGACAAGAGGAGACGCTTATAGACTTTGACTTTAGCTATCTGTGTATTGCTTAGAGAACCGCTCGCTGGACACTGTAACTGACACTGTGTAACTCAAGGACGTTGAACTCTTTTCCAGAATCCTAACCCTATTGCTCAGTAATGTAATGTATTGCTTGCTTTTCCTATCGTTTTTACCGTTTCTTTTAGTGATGTCGAATTGTATGTTATGTAAGCGCCCAGATCTTTGTTTTGAAATGATATTTGGTGACGTTCGAGGTCCTTTATAACGATTTAAGCGCGTTTCAGTGGACGAGTATTTGCAACACAGTGTTTTGAGTTTTGTGAAGTTTTATGGTGTTTTAATGAGTTTATGAGTACGGATTATGATGGGGAAAGTAATGCCCCAATGAGTTTTTCAGAGTTTTTTTTAAGAGTTTTGAGATTTGTCGAGTACAGAGATATCGACGTTTTAAGAGTTGTTTTTGTTTATGTGTTGTTTTCCGGAATACTTTTGACGCTTTTTTGAGTTGATAGCACCTTTGTAACGTTTTTTAATGTCTTTTTGAGATGGGAGTATGGTGCGCTTATATACGTATTGTTTGATAACGCAAGCTTTTGTTCATGATTGACAGGTTTATGTAACTTAGTAGTTTCTATCGTTTTGCCTTTTCCGTCTTTTTGCCAGAGGAGTAATGTGTTATGATAGCGGCTTTGTCTTTGCATTCTGTTTCCCCGCCGTATGACCTTTGTTTAGATTAACGACTTTTGAGTTCAGTTGAAATTTATAAGCGTAGATGACAGGAGTTTGATTAATAGCTTGTTGATTCATTGTTTATTAGTTACCGCTTTGCAATGCTTTAACCGAGAGACGCATCCCTGGTAATCACGTGATCATGCTGTTGACTGCAGCGATTGGCCGATCGCTTGGTTACACCGCCACGCCTTAGTTTTTTTTGACCTTTTGATATAGAGTTTGTAACCTTAGTAACGGAGAAATTGAAGCGAAGGGTTACCCTCAGCGAAATGTTTGAGAAAAGTGAGTCGATTGGTAGCCTTTCCCTTGTTTTTGATTTATAACCGTTGATATTTGTGACTTTATAACCATTGTATTTAGACTTTATAATCATTGTACTTAATTAGTGTGTTTTACTCTTTTTGATTTATACCTTTTATTAGTATTGTATTTAACCCTATGACGATGAGTGGCTGACGGTATCTTTGATTTATGAACGTGCAATGCCGAGAGGCATATCTCAGTTTGGGTGAAGGGATGTGTCATGAATTTGTTTTCGCGTATCTGTTAACCGACTTAATTAACTGATTATTAGCTGAAATGCTGTGTTATGTCTGTCATCGTTCAGGTCTATTTGAAGTTTTGGACGGAACTTGGCTTAGTGATTTGGAACTAATTACAAGATACCGTCGCTATTCTGACATCCGTAGTTATTAATGTAGTGAACGATTAATCAAAAGATATGACGTATTCAGTACTTAGTGTGATTGGCTTTATGATTGAAGGTTACGCCCTAGAGTCTTTTTACTGTTTTGTAATTGGTTAGAGTTTTGAAAATGAATAAAGAGAGTTTGAGTTCGTCTTGACGAACACAGCACGAGACGCAGTAGAGAGAGAGAGACGGAGTCCGAGAGAGTCCAGGGGCGAGCCTTGAGGCAGTCCAGTCTTGGGCGAGTCTTGGGTCAGCCTTGCGAGAGTCTTGGGGACTTTTCCCCAGGGCGCTGTGTCTTATAGAGTGCTCCAAAAGATCGACTAAGACGAGAGCTGAAACGTATTTCGTTGTGTGTGCCTTATTTGACAGTAAGGTATAAGCGACTTTCCCGATCCCGTACCTCAAGGGGACGAGATAGAGAGACGAGACGAGTTTCCCCCCTGGCAAGTGTGGAGAACCCGAGAGAAAGAGAGAATTTCCCCCTGATAGATCTGGTATTGATATGAGATATGGAAAGTACATTGCTATTAGTATTAAGCTCTGGCAATTTTGTATTAAAATCGAATACAGAATAGTTATTGCAGGTAACTTTAAATACATTTGGTTCTGGTGGTAGTTGCATGAAAACAAATAAAATAAAAATGACATATACTTGCTACTAGTATATTCATACAATACTTGTTTATATCTGATTCATTGTGTATAACAATGGAAACCGCCCCAGATTCTTTCTCAACATAAATATTCCCATTATAAGTCCAAAGAAATTGCTGCTTCCGTCTCCCGTTGACTTTTTCCAGAAGGTTGCGTTTATTTGATGTCAAGTTTTCATTGATGTAAATTATATATCCTAACGTATTTGTTGTTCTTTCTCTAATATTTTTCCTCTCACGGTAAACCTTGTCACGTTTTTTCCAGTTGCAAAATCTATCACTAATTGCTTTTTGTCTTACGTTGTTACTATTTCATGTACCAATACGATGTGTTACTTCTATATCTTCACTTGTTATATCTGGTTGTATCTATAACTTTTATCGAAATGTCGTCTGTATTTTCGTTCTGTGTTTCTTGTATTCCATGGATTTCGATGTTTTTCTCTTCGGCTGTACTGATTTTGTTTCTTGGACTCTCTCTAATTCACTAACACGTCTAGTAAGATCCGAATTCACCTGCTGTATTTGGTAGTTGGTATGTTCGAGGTTGCTCATTTTACCGCGCATTTCCTCAACAAGTGTGTTTAAGAATTCTAGAGATTTGCTCAGTGACACTTGTGGTTCTTTAATTTCTTGTGTATTTCCAAGGAGACCTGGTAAACAGTTACTTTAATTGCTGTTGAATGTCATAAAGCTGTTGCTCCATGTACTTTGTTTGCGTTGTGCATTTTTGTCAGATGAGCTTTTTTTATCTCTACACTTTTTTGCAAAGGTGCAATCCGTCATGTGTTAAATCAACATTCCTAGATGTAATTAGCAAGCACAAAACAGATTCTATGATGTCAGACTTTACCCATAATCCTTTGCTTGAGAATCAAGATGGCTGACTACATAATACTGATATAAAGTTGAATATCTAGAGAATGAAAAAGTGATATAAAAAATGTAAATTGCATTCTCCTACATTTGTTGAGCTTTTTCTTTAGGGGTCATTATGTTGTTTGGATTGATGTTTCCTTTAATGCCCGCTAAGAATTCAATGTTATCCGTTTATTGCGCTTATTGGCTAGCTCATTTCACGCAGTGTTCTCGTATTATTGAACAAAACAATTCCGCCAACTGAAGAAAAAAATATGTCCCTTTGTTTTATCGAAGGTTGGCGATGACCCCAAGAAGCAGTATCATTTGTATGTTGTTGGGGGACTGTGTAAGTAGCATTTACAACAGAATTTTTTTAAAGGGCGGTGTTCGTCACGCAGGAAGTGTTCGGATGTCATGTAAACAAACAATGTATTTTACACGCGTTGCGTACGTCGCTATGAGTTCTGTATCGAACACAACGCGGCGCGACGACCAACGGCCTTTAATTGTTGTTTTTTTACGAAACCTGCAAATTCAAAGTTCCAGGACTTGAATCAGTGCCATTAAGATGAAGACTTCTGTTTACTAGTAAACATGGATGGCAACTTTCAAGACTCGTAACAAATACAAACACATTATGTTATAAATACTTAAATGTCAAGTTGTTAGTTTTGTACATGTAGAAAGGCATCCATTATAATCCTCCATAGCAGTTAAATGGACATGCATACCCAAACCATGGAAGGTAGTAATGTAGATGATTTCAAAGTCTCAAATCAAATGTGCCCTCACAGATAGTTATTGAAGTGCCTCTGCGCATTTTCACTATTCACCATTGTGCCAACACAGGTGGCGCTATTCATCATAGCGACGTTTTGCATGTCAATGCACTATTAACATTAAAACAGCTGTGCCACGCCCCACCCCAAGTTTTTGTGCAGTACAGAAAGAATTTAGCACGCTATCTAGCACTCATGGCTGTATCCTCCGTCCACCCAAGCTACCCATTCTCGAATCCCCGAGCACAGTCTATATTTTCACCACAGTTAAATGTTAAAGTGCATGCGCAGGAATTTAGTCCCAAGCGACGATAACAACACACGCTAAAAAACGCAAAGGCTCATGGATAGACACTTGTTTGTAAACAATGACATGTCACATGCACAGGTGGCGACTCCCCCGCTGTAAATCACTTTTTGATTACACTGACTGGGCACTAAGTTGTGTTTATGAATTAATCGAGCAAGTATTGAAATATACCTTTTAATCGGAAAATTACATTTGAAATAAATTATTCTAATTTGCATATATAGCACAGCTCCATTGTGTCAACACAGGTGGCGCTATTGGTTTGCGGCGATCTGCGTGTCAATGAGCACAGCTCTGAATTCTTAGTTTCCATCATTCACTGATATATATTTTTAAATAATTCGGTCATATTGTATGTTCCATAAAATCTGACAGTGGTAGCTTTTCAACCAATCATCGGGGGTCTGGCAACTTTTCCATTTTCTTCGATAAATATACGTACTCTGGTTTCTACGTAATCACAAGTGACTCCATGGTCGGCTGGGATGATTTGAACCTGTGGGAAATCGGAACACGAAATGAAATGATGTAATGTCGAGAGAGGGGCGGTGTTTAAAAGAAGCGTACAGTTATGTTGTCAGTAAATTTTCATCGGTCACGGCCGATCACGGTTATTCCTTTGCATTTATATTGCATATTCACATTTGTCACTCAGTCAAATTTCATGCATACTCAAATTCCCAAACTATGGACATTGTACAAATTCAAAAGGTGATGGTCGTCGTGTTAGAAGCATATGGGTAAACCAAGAAACACCAGGTTGGAAAGGTAAAAATGGTACTGTATCAGAGGAATATTCATTCCGGTACTTCTTCGTCGATACTCTGCTATTGAAAATACCAATATCACTCGTAAATACAATGATATATCTTCTTGTCATATATATAACCTATTTATCTTTCACGACACGTGACCCTTTTATTTTGTTACAGATTGGCGTGTATATAAAATACATTTCGTAATGAAATATTCTCAGTATATTTCTGAATTCAAAAAATTCACCAAAAAAAAAATACTTTATCGTATTGTACTTCACAAAAGACTGCTGTTCCGATTGTTGGTGAATACACCGGTCCCTGGACGGGTCTGTATGCACATGTTTGTACTTTCTACATGGAATATAAATCTTATTATTCTTACTTTAAAATCAGGATACTCTTTCAAAATTACTTCTTTTGCTTCCTCTCCCGTCTGGATGAATAATATATATGTAAATTATACATTTAGTGCTTATTTGTTTACTTTCGACTATTATGTGAAGTTATATGCACAGCGCCCTCGCCGATGGGTCGACTAGTTGAAATCTATCATCGATGAGGTCAAACTAACTATACGTCAAGCAATAGACTTGAAGCAA